AGATAGTTGACATATGAATACCTAAACCACCCGTGGTCAATGAGAGATAGTGTTTAGCTCTTGCAATTGCATCAGCAGGGAATATCAATCCAACATTAGGATCATCAAGTAGGAATGGAGCTTGGCACAAAGCAACAACCTGCAACAGAAAAATTGTTGTATGTTAGTATAATCAACAAAATAAAATAGTTTAAACTATTTAATTAGAGAAAGAGTATGTTTAGATGTTAAAATTATAAAAATTACAAGGGAGATCTGGTAAAAGTAGAAATACGGTAGTTATGCATACCTGGCGAGGGAAACTCAATGGTCTCTGTCCCAAAGCATGTGGGTTGCCAACATTAGTAAATATAATCTGCCAACAATTCAAAATGAGTTAGTGTAAATATATGACTAGGGGTTTAACTGAGCAAATGTCTAAAGTAAGAAAGTGAGAGTGCATTTACTGTTTATTTATTTAAAATTAGTCAAGATTATGTGGTAATTTAATTCAAATTAACAGTACATGTACACTTCCTTTTCCCCTTTACACATTTGTTCACTTTACTAGAGGAGCTAAATCCATGACTAAGGAGGAACATGAATGTACAGATGATGAAGTGAATATAAATATAATCCATATGAGCAATTCGGCCTGAAGTCAGTATAAGCTGATAGTAGTCATAATAAGACTATGTTTGCATAGACATCAAGATGATGCTCACATTTTTATGCAAATCTACTTTCAGGATATGTAAATGCAAGTTAACAATAAACAAATATAAATAGGTTCAATTTCAATCAGCAAAATAGTTTGGGTGTAACTGATTTGCTTTGAGGAATATACTTTGCATGCAAAAAAAATTAGAACAAATACTTTGTCAAAAAGCCATTAAGACGAAGAACTCAGTATTATGAAGTGTTTACTTTTAAGTTTCAAAAGGAAAACATGTAACAACAAGTACAATACTACCATTACCATGTGATAAAGGTCTAGGACACAACAAGAACTTGATCAATCGTTGTGTATAATTTTGAAGGCCTCTTAAATTATATCGAAATCTTCAAAAAACTTGCAATAGGAGGCTTCAAGTTACTTTATAACTTACATTCTTGAAAAAATCCAGTTCTTTAAAATACCAAGAAAAAGACAAATTCAATCAAAGGGATTTTATGATCAGGTCCACTTTAATTTACAACGTAAGGGTGCAAGTCAAACAGATATAACGTGTATATAACCTGGAAAATCAATCATAACCTACCTTTTTGCCCTCTTTCTGAAGCTCGGAAGCTCGAAGGTATAATTCACCTCTGACAGCATATTGACTCTTCTTCACGTTTTCATTTATTGACACGTAGTCTAAAGGCTTTGGTGGCATGGTGAAGCAGATAACTTGCAGATATCACTGAATAAAAAAAAAACCAACAAAACAAACCAATTGTCAGCCAGAACAGTTCAATGAGGGAACAGGGAAAAAAAATGAGAACTGTCACTCAATCATGCATCGTGAAACAAAGCACCACACAAGTAGCCTTTTCTCCTACATGCGAAGGGTTTTAATCAAGACTTCTTCATTAACAGCATTCAAGCTAAACTAGTGAACTAAATACTAACATACTACATACACGTTTAGCCCCATAATTAGACTTATCTGTCTCAATCATAAATTCATAACTCAATAAAAATATCACATGCAGTAGACTAAGAATACTCAAAGGAACATAGCATATATTCCATATGGCTTGACAAATGCAATAACAACCTATTTGCAAGAAAACAGAGTTAACAAAATTAGTAAAAAAAAAAAAAAAAAAAAAGAACCCGAAGAGTGTCCACTCAGGAACCTGGGCTCACCCCTAGTCAAAATTCTGAAATGACACGATGAAACCAGGAAAAAAAATACCAGATTCCTGAAAGAAACCCTTCAAATTTGCGACCAAAAGGTCAACAAGCAAATTTTCCAGAGAGGGAAAAACAAGAATCTGACACAAACCAAGTCGACACGAAACGCAAAAGATTCGATTTTTAGTTTTTTTTTTTTATTGCAAGTGGGCCTCTCGTGCTGCGTAAATAGATCAAGTACAGTTGTGAAATGTTGTTACCTGTGGAATTGGGTCTGAAGGTTGTGTGGAGGATCACTAGCAGGCGAGTCAAGCGACCACCTTCACTTGATTGAAGAAGTGCTGGGTGAGGGAAACACCAAGTTATTTTAGTTTAGAAAGTTATACGTGAGACAAAAGAGTGTGAACTTTATTTGTCTGTAGTGAAGTGTATTTGTGTGGCAGTAGCGGTTGGTGAAACGCAATGGCAGCACCAGAGCCACTGAAAAAAGTGGAAACGGATTATTGAAATTGAGATCACTATATTAAACCCGAAGGGATAATGGTCGTGCTTCAATTGTGACCAAGCTTTGTACTACAAGGTTCTCTACGCAGATAACAGCGTTCTGGCCTTTGGCATCGGCTTGTGTTGGATTGGAAAATGTGGGTTTGCGTCATTGTCTTTCGGGGAGTGGTTCTTGTTGGTTTCGTTTCATTGTTTGGATACGTGGCACATTCGCAATTCAACTTCTCTTTCTCTTCTTTGTTTTTGCACATGACGAACAATTTATATTTATTTATACAATTTATGTAACTATTTTTTTTATTACAAATTAGATTTCTCTTTTTGTTTTCCTGTTAAATATATAAATTATTGTACAATTTATTGTATCGTTTCTATTTGATAAACTTGTCTTAGGTTTTACCAGTAAAAAATCACTGGGATGACAAACATGATGTAAACAATTGTTCTTGTGGTTGAATGTTTGAAGGCTTGGAAAATGCATCATCCCCTCTTCATAAATTTTGATATAAAAAAATCAATCAAAATTAAAAACAATTAATGATTACATGATCATTTAAAAAAGGTTATATATATTTGTATTAAATTTTTGTTATGCAGATATTATTTAATGTCCTACACTAATAGTTTTACTTTTACGATATTAAACTATTGAATGAAATAATATATATATATATATATATATATATATATATATATATATTATGTATATGAAATAATAAGCACGTTAGTTAATTGAATTATATTTTTTATTTAATTTTTATATGTCTATTTTTTTTCCTTTTTTTTTTTACCAAATACTCCGTAAGTTGAAGTAATTTATTACTTAATACAATAATAATAATAACAATAATTACTAATATTAATGTTATATTTATTTCTAAACTAAATAATTTCAAAATATTATCTCTCTACGTAATTCTATTCATTTTTTCAACAAATAACATCTATTTTTATTATATTTCTTACTTTTTTGTTTTGTCATCTACCTTCTTTCCTTCCTCTTTATGAAACACTACACAAGTCTTCTATTTACGTAACTTTCAGTTACTTAATAAAAAAATCATTTTGCTTTATTTTATTTTTGCATTGAAAATAATTTTATTTAAAAATTTATTGGTTTTCTTTGTCAATAATATTATTGGTATTGATAACGTTTGAACTTTAGTTTCTTTTTTATCAATATCTTTTCAATCGATTTCTCAATAATTATATATTTTCTACTTATTTTTTATTTTCTTTTATGTTTAAAATATTTTTCATTTATAAATATTAAGTAATCTTTCATTTAGAAATATATTCGTTTCTTTCAAAATTGTATTTTAATGATTTATTTACTCTTTTAGCTTGTGTTTTAAGGGCAATTGAAAAGGAAGGGAAAACTTTGTGTGGAAAGTGGCAATCATGCATGATTTACCATTATGCCTTTTTAGCTATAGATTTTAGAACCATCTCTTCTTTACAATGTATAAACTTTTATTATTATTTTGTATAATCTGCATTTTGTTTGGTATATTATATGTGAAACAATTCCTCTATCAAATTTAGAGATAAAAAATAATTGATTTTTTATATAATTAGAATAAATTAGAAATATAATCAAATCGTGATAAATAATAAAAATACAATTTTTATGGAATTGAATTATACATATTATTTTTTTAATATGATTATCTATCACAATCATGTTTGTAGCTTTCGTCAAGTCACACCAACAATTATATAAATCCATTATAGAATTAATGACTCTCAAAATTAAATAAAAACAACTTAAAGCAGAGTAAATAAAGTCCAATTACAATGTAAAATTAAACAAAACTACGATGCTTTGGTTCTGCCATAAATTTTAAAGCTTACATGAAAAGTAAAACAAAATCAAGGAAATATTAACACAGAAAGAATTTTCAAATTAGAAAAAAAAACTAGGAAGAAGTTTAGAGAAAAGAGTTGAATAAAAAAAAAACTAATTTAATGAATGTAAAAAATAATTTTCCATTATATATACATTATTAAGGGGTTTTATATTTTGGTGGTAACCTCTACAACATTATTTTCTCTTAATTTTTCTGCTGTTGCTTCATAAGTATTGCAAACTAAATAAAATATTCTAGATATTATTGTTGATAGTATCTAAGAAATAACATAAGAATGATGATTTATAAAGCAGCCAGTATAAAAAAAATAACAACTTACTATACTCAATTCTCATACATTAAAACTCTTGTCTGTGACGTTTTATTTAAAAAAAAGAAGTTTGAATCAAGAATATATATAAATTATTTTAATTTCAATTCTTAAATTATATATATATATATATAAATTATTTTTAATCTCAAATTTTAAATAATACAAGACTTAAAAATAAAAATCATTAATCGTTAAAATAATAAAAGTTTGTATAAATTGAACTTCATGTTAACAAAAAATATGCATATAAAACAAGTATTTGAATATTCTTTTGAAGTGTAAAAATAATTGGTACACCAAAAAGCAGTTTTAAAAAATGGTACTATTATAGATGACACTTAAAAGCAGATATGACATAAGTATAGATTACTATTTATTGTTTTAACCTTTTGTGAAATACAATGTAGTACCGAACTAGCAAATCTTTTCCAACTGTCCCCCTAAAGCGAAAGCGATCTTCGAGTGAACAAACGGACGGTGACCGCCGACAATGGCGGCCACGCCACCCCCTCCGTCTTTGTCGCTTCCTTCAAACAAAACCCTCACACTCAAACGCTCTCACTGTCCGTTTCACCCTTCTAAGAACAACGACAACAACAAATCCCTTTTCTCTTTTAATTCGAATCTGAGGTGCGAGATCAAAGGCTTCGAGGGCCATCGCCGCTGGACAATTGAGCGTTTCTCCGACATGAACAAAGACTCCACCACTCTCTCCAATTCCAGCACCAACCCTTCTTCTCCGTTGGTTTCTGTCTCAGCTGTCACCTCTGCTTCCCAATTCCCCACCAAAAATGCTAAAAAGGTTGTCCTTTTCTACTGCGCCGAGACCAAGGCCCTTGCCGAGAAAACCGCCGCCGAGTCTGATGCCATCGAGCTTCGCGCCATCTCTTGGGGGTTCGTTCCTTTTCGTTCACTTTGTATTTCTCGCCATGCATGATGCATCCGTTGGCCCTCTCTCTGTTTTCTTTTGATTTCGATTTCGACCAATGTGGTGATTTGTTTTTGTTTTTCGTCTACTTTGAGTGCTCATTTGGGTGAATTGCTCTATTGTGTTGGAATTGATGTCTTGGTGATGCCAGTAGGAACTTGGAAATACCCATTACGGTTCTATTATCCGGTCTCTGTATTCCATTAACTTCGAGTGCCCCATTTAGCCAAATTTCACTGTGGGCTGAAATTGGTATCTTCGTGGTTGCAATCTAGGAACTTCTACATACCCATTACAGTTAGAATAATTCTAAATCCCATTACATCCTCATTCTTTCTAAGTATTAAATGTGTTTTATATTTGCATGCATTGAATGCCTTTCCATTTAATACTTCCTTGGGATTAGATGATTTTGTAGGAAGATATGGCATTACACTATGCTGCTACATTGTGAATCTTGATGCCTGAGAGTAAAGCTTAAAGCTCGTTTGGTTATAGGCTTTTTTTTGCTTCTAGCTAGTTTGGGTTTTGAGTGAATTGTATGGTTTGTTTCACTGAAGTACTTTGTGCAACTGAAAACTCAGCAAGTTTCCTGATGGCTTCCCCAACATTTTCATTCCTAATGCCCAAGGAATTCGAGGGATGCATGTGGCTTTTCTGGCCTCATTCAGTTCTCCAGCAGTGATTTTTGAGCAGATTCCTGTTATTTATGCATTGCCAAAACTGTTCATTGCTTCATTTACCCTTGTCCTTCCGTTTTTCCCAACGGGCACATCAGAGCGTATGGAGGATGAAGGAGATATTGCCACAGCTTTTACTTTGGCCAGACTTTTGTCAAACATACCCATTTCTAGGGGAGGACCTACCAGTCTGGTGACATTTGACATTCATGCCTTGCAGGTCTAATGTTTGTGGAATTGCTTTTTACAATTGTTCTTTCGGGTTGTCAGTGTCATGTTTTCCATGTCTTTCTTTCTCAGTTGTGAAATTCCTGGCTATAATTGTTTGATTATTTGTTGCAATTCAGGAGAGATTCTACTTTGGTGATAACATTTTACCATGCTTTGAGAGTGGGATACCATTGCTTAAAAGAAGGCTCCAGGATCTTCCTGATTCTGATAATGTGAGGATTTCACATATATTTTTTTCTTTTCTTTCAGGCTGGGTGTTTCTACGCAGTTTTTGTATGTACTGTTCTGGTTTTTCTCGTGCATTGGAATTTTTGATGATGGAAATTATGTTATGACTTAAGCCCATGAGTATATGTGAAACAGATTATTTATTAATTATAAAATTGAATGAGAATCATTGCTTTTATACTATGTCATATTCAGTAACAACTTGGATTTTCTTCTTTCACAGATATCAATTGCTTTTCCTGATGATGGTGCATGGAAACGATTTCATAAGCAACTGCAGCATTTTCCAACGGTATTGAATATAGTTAATCTAGCAATGTTTCTCAAATGCAGTAAAAGTTGTGAATATCACACTGGTACTGGTCTAGCAGCTACTAATTTGAAGTTTGAAACATAGACTAAGTTGCTTTGGTGGTTCCATCTGTTAGCACTTACACAATGGATATGCAGATAGTCTGTGCAAAAGTTCGGGAAGGAGATCAGAGAATTGTTCGTATTAAGGAGGGAGATCCTAGGGGTCGGCATATTGTGATTGTTGATGATTTGGTTCAATCAGGTGGAACTTTGATAGAGTGTCAGGTATAAACATCTGTATATGTGCATTCTTATGTAGTTTTATTTATTGTAGCAAAGATGCTTTTATTTATGTCTTGCTAACTCATTAATTTGCCATCTTTCAGAAAGTCTTGGCTGCTCATGGAGCATCAAAGATTAGTGCTTACGTGACCCATGGCATTTTCCCAAATAATTCATGGGCACGCTTTGGACATGATAATGGGGGTAGTGCTTGCTTTACTTTGCTCATTAAGCCAAGATCATTGATGTTCTTTTTATAAAGGAAAATGACTTCATCTGAAGTATTTATTTATAAATTACTAATATGAACTGATGAACTTGTGCCGATATCAACTAGGTGCCACATGTTAACCTGTTTTCTTATATCAATTTGATTTAATTGAATTTCTTGTATTTTTTTCTTTATTTTTCCTTTGAGTGGGTTAAATGCCGACTTCTTCTATAAACATGTAGTCAATTCTCACTTATCTTCAAGGTCCCACAGGCTAGAACCCTTTAACTTAATTTTTGTACAAAAGTGCCAAACCCACGACAGATGTTCAATCACCTCTATTATATACTCAACTTTCTTCTTTATTGCCAAGCTCAATGCCATTACCTTCACTGTTCCACTTATGAGTGTAATAGGCACTTAGATGGCTTATCTTGAGGTCTGGTTATCTATTTTATTTGGTAGTGTTTAAGCATATCACGAGGATCAGTTGTTCTCTCACTCTATTATGAAACCATTCCTGTTGTAATTGAACCATCACTTACAAATCTAGTATTGCTTTCACTACAGTAATTACCACTAAATTTTGAGTTCTGTAAAGTTAAAAAGAATGGAGAAGATATACGTGTGTTAACGCTTATATTTCGTCAAATAATCTTGTATTAAATTAATGGCTTACTGTTTACACCTTTTTTTTCTCACTTTCAGCCATTTCTAACTTTTATGCACAGGGCATCCAGAGACTGCATTTACTTACTTCTGGATCACAGATTCATGCCCCTTAACAGTGAAAGAGGTGGTGAATAGGCCACCGTTTGAGGTTCTCAGCCTTGCAAGCTCCATATCTACCAGTCTTCAAATCTGAAGGGAACATATATAAAGTCATTTTTATTTCATTCTCAAAATAAATTGGAGAAAGAAAGAGATCTGGTTACTAAAAATAGTAAAAGTTGAGTTATTGGACTTTACGATGCGGCTCATAGCATAGCAAGGGATAATAAGACGCCAGGGAGTAAAAAAGACTTTATTATTGTCTCCCCTCCTCTACTTGATCATCTACTCTTACCCAAGGATATTGCTGCGATGTCTACCTGGGCTGCATTCATTTAGAAACTGCTGCTTTTAATGGTAATCCATATGCTATTGTGTTAAAAATGATGTACTCTATCTTGTGGATTTTGGTAGTAGTTTCAATCGTGTGTATGATGCTGGATGTATGAAACTTTAAGAGCCTTACTCTATCTTTTCAAATTAAATAAATTATGATTTCAAATGTTCATCTTTAAAATATTGCCTTAACATTTTGTAGATCTAAATTCCCAATTGCCAGAGGAGTGCTTCATTTTAGTTTATCATTGTTTGAGGTCCTAACATTACAGTTTATGGATTCAATAAAAGGAAAGATTTATCCACGGTTGATTTGGAGAAAAGGGTGTGGATCAGTTGCTTGATTCTCTGACTCACACGCTGCCATTGATTTGGTTAATGGAAAATTTCCCCATTCATTTGCACAAGTTTGCCCACCTTATTACAGGGATCAATTTGATGACTGTCTGGTTGACGAATATAACTAATGAACTAACTGAGAGATCGAAGAAACTAAGAGTGTTGTACTTTAATTTTTATACAATGACGCTATATTATTTTGTAATTTTGTTATTAAAAATAACAAGACTAAATCAAATTAATAAATATTGAGCCAATTCTTCAGCTTAAGACTGCCAATTAAAAGGAATACCACATATAAAATATGTGGTAATATTTTTTTTCCTTCCTACACTTTTCATTAATTAATGTGTTATCTATATTTTATTGATTATGAAGTATATATTCTATAAATTTCCTTTATTAAAAGATATAGGTTTAGAATGTCTAGAATTTAATCTATAGAATAAAAACTAATTTATATATTCTGCTACAGGTTTACTTCGGTAAATTTCTCTTGATTTTTTTTTTCACAATACACAAGTTAAAAAATAAAAATTTAGAAAATTATATGAGAAAAATTATAAATTAATTTATGAATAAAACTACTATTTTTTTTCATTTAATTTTTTCTTTTTATTTCTTTCCCTTATAATTTTATGATAAGTTTGTCGAAACAAACCCTACATCATTCTCTTCGTAGTCTTTTTGTTATTTTCTAAAATAAATAAAAAATAAATAGATTTAATGCTTTGATATTAAGAAATAAAAGTTTTATTCATTTAGTAATTAATAATATTTTAAGAAGTAATATGAGGCATGAAATACCTACGTATGGACAATATTTGGGTGGAATCTAGTGTACACCATGAAGGAAACAAGATTCTCCTTAAAAAATCATAGCGTTCTCATGGTGAGGTTGACCTAAATTTCTCCTTGATTTAACCCTTGTGCTTTAGCTATCTATTCTTCGTTCTTAGCTACTCCCTTAGCTGAGATTAATACAAGACTATCTAGCATACAAGACAAACATCAAAACACGTTCAGCATTTGATTCTTAAACTGCCAATAATTGCAGAATATGTGAAAACATGCAGTGAACTTATGAAAAAACTTTATAACATTGTCACTAGTTTCTCTGTACATCTATTACTCCCTTTGCAGTAACTTAGCTATGAATTAGTACCAAATTGGCGGTTTGAAATCTGCACCATTAATTAATCTGTCTTGAACCATTTTTAGATGCCCACTAGATTGACAACAACAGCAGGATAAGATGTTGAATACTCGAACGTGAGCATGACCTCATGTGCATACACCAACCAGAGCAAGGATGGATAACAATATACAAATCAAGGTAAAGACCATAACTGAAGTAAGTTTCCCCCTATACAAGCTGCTGGAGGAGGCTTCCTTACATGCTCTTCAACGAGCAGCTGTAGAAAATATTTGCCAAAATACACTATTCTTAGTAGACTTTGCCGGAGGCTAACAAGTTGATGAGTAGTCATAACCAATCAATAAAACTCTCCTACAACACGAAACTTGATACAGCTGCCAATTCACTACTATATTGAATGATTAGTGGCTGCTGATTCTATATCCTGTTCTTACAGCTACATTAACAAACTCTTCATTATTACTCAGATGGGGCTAGTCTTCATTTTTGTATGGTGTACTCTTTTCCATTCACGAGACTCGGGATATATCCGTAGTTCATCCTCACCATATACATGTACTAGTGGAAAAAACTGCATGGTTGACATTTTGATTTCTTCTATAATATTATTCACAACTATCACTCTGACCTCAAGTAGCTGTACTGACATTTTTACAAAATGACTAGCATGAATTTTAATATACAATATGGATAAGAAATTCATTTAAGAAATAATCAGAAAAGATCATGTTCTCTTAATTAAAACTTAATTTAGGAGGAACCAGTCCTATACGTACTAACCATCTATGATGATTAGCAAGGTCTCGGAGAATGATCAACATGGGTTGAAAAGTCATATATCCAAGTAAAAAACTCTTGGAAAGATTACAATTAGTTTCAAGTTTGATCAAATATCAGATGAAATCAATTGGTGATTTAAAATTTAAGCTATGTTGTTACAGGGATTTTTGGAGCTAACGCGAGTAATGAAGTCCCACACTTGTCAGAGCACTGAAAAGAAGCTGAAGCTGAGATATAAAATTTGAATACTTACGTGTCATAAAGCATACCTTTCTCGGCCTTTTGGCTAAGATAAAGTGTAGTATCTGTTCTTGTCAGTTTAATATCTGATACATGGATCATTGATTCATATGGTATTAATATAATTTTTGTTTGGGAGAGGGTCTGGAAAGGTAGCTTGCTACCTGGTCTCTCAAGCATTGTTCTTGCTTTGCACTCTTGCAAGAGTCTGGTGCATCCCTTCTAAAGTAGTTTAATTATTGATTTATATCATGTATTGTGCATCCCTTCTAAAGTAGTTTAATTATTGATTTATACCATGTATGTAAAGGTAGATTCTAGTTGAAATGAAACAAGTATTTACAATTATCTAAGTCTTGCAATTAAAGCCATAATTAAAGCAATAATCTTAACAACTTATGACAAGTTTGACATTAGTTAAATCCTCATTATATTACAAGCTTGAATACTTGTGAATAACTTTAAGTGAAAATTTTCTAAATACTTTATATTTCTGCTGAACTTAGTTCAACCTTTTCTAAAAGATTTCTGTTTCTGAGGTCCTTTATGACAATAGAAACACCTGACATTTTGATCCCATTATGACAACCAAACTTAAGGAGATGAACTCTTTCATTGACAATGTACCAAGAAAACAACTTAAGGTTCAAAGCATAACAATATCTGTCATTTTCATAGTTCTTTCCCATTGGGCACTCAGATTTATTTATTTATTTTTCTGATAGGCAATGAAAACAGAGAAAGTTTTGTAGTCATTTTTATTTGAGTGACAAAATAGACTAAGAGGTACTAAGAGACTGACATTGTTTCAGAATAACTAGCAAGAATTTAAAAAACATGGATAAAATTCGTATCTGAACACTAAGAAATACACAGAAAGGTCTTGCTCTTGTCTCTGGAGAACTTGAAATAACCCTCTTCCATGCAGCAACCAGTCCTATCAGTTCTAACCATTCAAGATGATTAGCAAAGTCAAAATAGTCAGCAGCAGGTGACAGTAGCACATCCAAATAAAAAATCTTCGGATATATTGTTATAATGTGTTTGAACTCTTGGTTATTAATTGCAGGTTTGATCAAATATTTGATAAGCTCTATCATTATTTTAAATCTTAAACTCTTATGGCTAATTATTACGAGAGCATCTACAAGGGTGATTAAGTCCCACACTTGTCAGAATACTGACATTAAGGAGATTAAGAGATATAAAATTTGAATAATTACAAAGTTTACAGTATACCTTTCTCGGCCTTTTGGCTAAGATCAAGTGTAGTATGTTCTTATCAGTTTAATATCTGATGTGTGAACCAATGGTTCACATGATATTAAATGAATTTTTTAGGGAGTGAGTTCATCACAGTAGCTTGCTGCTGGGACTCCATGCGTCGCTCTTGTTTTGCACTATTGCAAGACCAGGCGCATCCCACCTAGACCAGTTGAATTATTTTAGAACTGTCATGCTTATTGTGGATGTTGCCGATATGGCTTTACCTATTGTGGATACTACAGCTAGTCACTACTGTCTTGATTTGTTTTTGTTTATGCTTTTCTCGTGGATGTTACAGATATGGCTTTACCTATTGTGGATACTACAGCTAATCACTACTGTCTTGATTTGTTTTTGTTTATGCTTTTCTCATTCATGAGGCTCAAAATATATATATATATATATATATATATATATATATATATATATATATATATATATATATATATATTCTTTTGTCTGGAATTTTGGTATGTAACAGATAGGACTTACGAAGCTGAACCAATACAGATCAGGTTCTATTAGTTAAACCTTAATTAGGCATGAACCAGTACTCTATGTTCTAACCATGTATGATGATTAGCAACTTACTTCCGCATGAACCAGTCCTATTAGTTCTAACCATGTATGATATTAGCAAGGTCACGGAGAAGGATCAACATGGTTGGTAATATCAATGTATAAAATGTTTGGCAACATTGTAATTAGTTTCAAGTTATCAATAAATCTGTTGCTCGTGTAGAGTATATCCGACACAAGTTATGAAGTCTCACACTTGTCACAACCCTGACAAGAAGCTGATGCAGTGAATAAAAATATACTCTGTAAAATATTTTTTCATAAAAATATACTCTGTAAAATATTTTTTCGTAAAAATATAATTTCATTATATATGCCAATTATGGTAATGATTAACTTATTAAAGTATTTGACGACCGAATCTCAAGAATGATCTGAATACTTTGTTGATTGGATAATGATATGGTGTCTTATATACTTCAAATTAATCTTTTAACTATTGTATAAATATAATTTTTTAATCCTTTAGCAATGATAATTTGAATCACTCTTGCAAATAAACTAGCTAAATGGACTAACCTTTGGTGGAGCACAATAAACACATGAAACAAGAAGATTCTCTTTAACAAAATCTAACTGCATAACAAATAACTTACTTGAAGCGCTGTGTTATCCGATCATGATTAATGCCTCTGATTTAACATCTGCACTTAAGCTTTGACAATCTATTGTTCATCTTTTAGGTTCTCAAACAGAGATCAAATACAAAACAAACATCATAAGTAACAGGTTTAACATTAAATTATTAATCTAAGCCTATCATTACAAGTATAATTTACAAATTCTTTTGAACAAAATTGATAAACATAGAATATACGATTACAAATACCGTATCATGCCATGATTCTACATGATTAATTTTTTCCATATTTAGCTTGGCATGACAGCGATGCACAGTGATGCACATTAATGTCATATCTGTTAATAGACAAATTTAGGATACCGACTATAATGGTTAGCGTAATTATAGCCTAGAATGTTTCTGTATTTCATGTATATATTGTGCTATCATATTCAATACAAGACAGGGGTTTTTGGAAATATTTTTATCATGGTATCAGAGCGAACCAAACTCTGATATCCAACAGCCCGAGAACACAGTCGTACTTCTAAAATGGCAGAGAGAGGAGAGGCGGTGAAGAAAACACCATCGCCATACGATCTGAGTGCCAGTGATAATCCTGGAAATGTGATTACACAGGTACAATTACGAGGAGAGAATTACGAGGAATGGGCAAGGGCCGTGAAGATATCTCTGCGGGCTCGAAGGAAATGGGGTTTCATAGATGGAACTCATAAGGAACCTGAAGAAGACACATCTGAGATAGAAGATTGGTGGACAATTCAATCGATGCTTGTATCTTGGATACTAAACACTATAGAACCTAGTTTGCGTTCCACTGTTGCATACATGGAAAACGCAAAGGACCTATGGGATGACATCAAGGAACGATTCTCGATCGTGAACGGACCAAGAATCCAGCAGCTAAAGTCAGAGTTGGCAGAATGCAAACAACAAGGAATGACTATGGTTTCCTATTATGGGAAGTTGAAAACGTTGTGGGATGAACTGGCAAATTACGAGCAAATCCCACAGTGTAGATGTGGGGGATGCAAGTGTAATATTATGACGCAACTTGAGAAATGAAGAGAAGAAGAAAAAATTCATCAGTTCTTGATGGGGCTAGATGATGAGGGCTATGGAACTGCACGGTCAAATGTTTTGGCAACAGATCCATTACCCTCGTTGAATCGGGTGTATGGCACCATGGTGCAAGAAGAAAGGGTGAGAACAATCACCAGGTCTAAAGAAGAGCGAGGAATGATCGTGGGAATGGCTATGCGAGCGGAAACCAGGAACAAGTTGCGCAATGAAGCGAAAGAAAAATCAGTTGTTTGCATGCAGTGTGGAAGGAAGGGACATGACAAAGGCAATTGCTTCAAGATCATTGGTTACCCAGAATGGTGGGGAGAGAGACCACGAACCGATAGAAACGATGAAAAAAATCAACAAAGAACAGGAACCTTCCGAGGAAAAGGAGGAACGGCTCGCGTCAATATGGCGCACACTGGTGCAGATAACGTTGGTTCAACCGAAAAACCAGAAGTCGCAGGACTGAGTAATGAGCAATGGCAGATCTTGACAGCAATGTTGAATTCTCGCAAGGCAAATGAAACTGAAAAGATGACTGGTAAGAAAGCATGTGACTTGTGGATTATTGATAGTGGCGCCTCTAATCATATGACAGGAACACTAGAAAACTTGAGGGAGAGTCGAGCCTTGGAAGGGTGCCCAGTGGGACTACCAAATGGTGAATTGGTGCTGGCAAACAAAGAAGGATCGGTTTTCCTTGATGGAGGACTGAAACTTAAACATGTTTATATGTTCCGAAATTGAATTGCAATTTGACAAAGTACTTAAATTGTGCTAAATTCTCCTTCCCCCACCGAACCTTTCTTGCAGCCCTTCATGCAGAGAGAGAACCTGTGCATTTCTTTGAAGCTGTTCGGGATGTTAGATGGAGAGATGCCATGGCTAGTGAAATTCAGGCCCTCCAAAGTAATGAAACATGGGACATTACTCCTCTACCGCAGGGAAGAAGTCTCCGGGTTGCAAGTGGATTTATAAAATCAAATATCATTCTGATGGGAGCGTTGAACGCTTCAAAGCCCGATTAGTTGTCTTGGGAAATCACCAAGTTGAGGGGATTGACTATGACGAGACCTTTGCCCGATGGCAAAGATGGTCACCATTCGGACAAGTGTTGGCGAGTGGCAGTAGCCAAAGACTGGGAACTCCATCAAATGGATGTCCATAATGTTTTTCTGCACGGCGATCTTGAGGAAGATGTGTACATGAAAATGCCGCCAGGGTTCTTGGTGTCTCAAAAGGGTATGGTGTGTCGTCTCCGCAAGTCCCTTTATGGTCTTCGTCAAGCTCCTCTGTGTTGGTTTGCCAAGCTCTCAACTGCTCTTGTTCAATATGGGTTTCAACGTTCTTCGTCTGATCACTCCTTGTTCATCTTTCGCAAAGGAGATGTCGAACTGGTTGTGTTAGTTTACGTGGATGACCTAGTCATTGCTGGCAATCATCATGAAGACATTGCGCAATTCAAAGATTATCTTCATCAATGTTTTCGTATGAAGGACTTAGGGAAATTAAAATACTTTCTTGGGGTGGAGGTTGCCAGATCTCTTACAGGAATTTTCTTGTGTCAACGGAAGTATGCGTTGGACATCATAGCTGAAGCAGGATTGCTTGGAGGGAAACCTGTGTCCACGCCAATCGAAGAAAATCATCTTTTAGCATTGGCTGATGGCGAACTACTTTCTGACCCGAGTCAATATCGACGTCTCGTCGGTCACCTTATTTACTTGTGTTTTACACGACCTGAATTATCTTACAGTGTTCATGTCCTATCTCAATTCATGCACCAACCGCGTCAGGAGCATTGGCGGGCTGCACTCCGCGTGGTACGCTATTTAAAGGGCAGCCCGGGTCAGGGTGTGCTTTTAAAAAGAGAGAGTGACCTTCGTCTTTATGGTTGGTGTGACTCGGACTGGGCAAGTTGTCCTCTCACTCGAAGATCTCTCACCGGTTGGTTTATTTTCCTTGGTCAATCCCCCGTTTCCTGGAAAACCAAGAAGCAACATACGGTTTCTCGATCATCCGCTGAGGCAGAATATCGTTCTATGGCCAACACGACATGTGAGTTGAAATGGCTTCAAGGCCTTCTTTCGAGCCTAGGCATTACTCACACCTCTCTACTGTGACAACCAAGCTGCCCTTCACATTGCCAAGAATCCTGTGTTTCATGAACGGACAAAACATATTGAAGTGGATTGTCATCTTATTCGTGATGAAATACAACACAATCATATCCAACCCTCCTATGTGTCCACTCATCATCAACTGGCTGATCTCTTCACCAAATCTCTTGGCGCCACTAAATTTGGTTCTTTTTTAGGCAAGTTGGGCATTCATAACCTTCATACTCCATCTTGAGGGAGGGTGATAAACATAGAATATACGATTACAAATACCGTATCATGCCATGATTCTACATGATTAATTTTTTCCATATTTAGCTTGGCATGACAGCGATGCACAGTGATGCACATTAATGTCATATCTGTTAATAGACAAATTTAGGATACCGACTATAATGGTTAGCGTAATTATAGCCTAGAATGTTTCTGTATTTCATGTATATATTGTGCTATCATATTCAATACAAGACAGGGGTTTTTGGAAATATTTTTATCAAAAATATAATTTACGGTGCTTAAACCTTCATCAGTACTTTATTATTTTCATTAAAAATCAGTACTTTATTATTTTCATTACAAACTCGTTAGCCCCCATTAATTTATTTTCCACCCATTAAAATAAGCAGAGTTTATGAAAACAAACCTGGAATTCCATTCAATTACTGCAAATACGAAAGATGAAGGTTAAATTTCTTCATATGTCATGTTCTGATGCAATAATACAAGATATGTATAAACGATGGTACTATTATTTCTCATTGAAACATTGAATTGCAACCAAGACTATGAATGTTTGTTGACTCCTGTCATTGTCTAGAAAATTAAAATGATAATCCAGATAAGCTAGCATGACTGTACCGAACTCCAGTTAGAAATCTGAACTTTCAAAACATGCTAACAATTTCTGTAATTCTCCCTCAGCCTATACGTTTTTACTTTAGCGAATAATGAGAAAAAAACATTGTATTTCCATTTTCATTTCAATCATAAAAAACATTAAGTAACAAGAACAAACAACAACTACCTTTACTCAAATTGGTGGACCGACTTTGCTCCAAAACAGAAGGCAGAATGTATGAAACAGCAAAATACCTTTCTCCATGGAGAGCTGCTAAAAATAGATCCAATGATCATTGACACCTTGAATTTCTAAAGAAAAAGAAATCCAATTTATAATTGTCAAATTAAACGTTTGCGCTTGCTAGTTGTTTACAGCAAGATCACTGGGAAATGATCAGAGATTCAGAGTGCGTGAAGAGAAATAAAAGCATATGTCAAATTACTTAGTGTCAGAATATTAATCACTGCACCGCTTAAAACTACTTTAAGATTTAATTTCTATACGGTTAACTGTTGAGTTATGGAGACAAGGTTATGAGAGAAGCACTTATATAAACTAATCTTGGTTTTGAATGTAAGTGATATTGGTGAATACCATGTTGAAAGTCCCACTTATGTTATGGTTTAAATACTTTTTAGGTTATTTTATATACCACCAACTAGTTTTATATTGAATCCTTAACATGCTTTTAAAACCAAAACCTAACTTTTTTTTTCTGGTTATTGTCTTGGTGAAAATTACCCTTAAAATACCATTTGTTCTAGCAGGCTCGTTGGAGGGTAGATGACGTGTGGCTGCAATTATGGAAACAGTGTCTCCTCAAGAATTATCAGAGCTATCTAACCATGGCAGTTGGAAATTGTTGAAACACCTAGCCTTTGACAAAATGAAGCAGATCAGGTGGAGTTTGTGGTCATAATGAAGGAGATAATAAAGAAATGTGAAAGAGTACTTTTTGCTGCAAAGGCACGAGGAGGTCTTTTACGATTCAGAGAGGAAAAAGAGTGGCTCAATATAAAGGAAAACAACGTGTGGAGTTTACTGAGAAGGACAACTTATATTGCCTTCTTTGAGATTATGTTTCTTGAGCTTACCTATAATACTAACACAATGTTTTGCTTACGGGGCAATATTTCTTAGAGATAAAAAAATATCTAATTGAACTTTGGATGGTTAATGGATTCCTTTCATCTGATAAAAGATAAGATGTTGAGAAGAGGTTGGTGATGGTATTGGTGTGTGGAATGAATTATATTGGAGATCTTTTTTTTCAAGATATTGAGACAGATGAACTTGATAAGCTTACAACTTTCAAGATGCATGATCCTGTTCACGATCTTGCTCAGTTTGTTGCATTTACTAACGACAACTGTGTAACTATTTTGTCGGAGAGAATTAATCATCTCTCAGATCTAGTTGCATCAAGTCACACTTTTGATGAGAATTTAAGGAGGTGAAATCCCAGATTAGTGTACTGAAAAATATTGCTTTGTTGCAATTTAATTTCATAAGAACTGCAACTAGGTTGACTCACAGAGGTGAACAAGTTTTGTTCTAAAACTAGGAAATTGTTTGATGATGTCCATCTATATTAGAAAATGTTTTAGTCTCCAATGATAAAGTTAATTCCTCTGATATATTATTTGTCTTGAAATTCAAATCCGTCTTAATAATATCATTAAAAGATAGTATTTACAAACTATTTTAATCTCGAATTATAAATAACACGAGTTTTAATGAATTTATTTCGGAACAAATGATTTTTTTTTTTTTTGGATTCTTACCATTATTTGGTGAAAGTTAATTTTCTAATTCTGTACTCCAACTGTTCTCCAAAGATTTTAACTTCTTCAACCCCACTAATTTTTTGGGTGAAAAAATTCGGCAAAGTCAATTTTAGAATGAGTAGGAAGATGACTCAAGAAATTAATGGGGGTGCAGAATGAAATATCTTTTCCAAGTACCACAAATGGTTTGCGCGTGCCCAGAGACCCTTGAGAAATAAGAATTTTCGCTAATTGGCCTAAGTTGCTGTAGAACTAAAATTCAAACTCTTACTACGACATTCTTGATTCTTCTTCTTCTAATGTCTTCTGTGACAATATATATGAGCATAGTATTATTAATTACACAATCCATAAACACCCATAATGTTGAATATAATCCAGACACTGAGTTTTATGGTAAAAATAATGTATTATTAATAATAACCCATTCTTCCATGGAAAATCTTCATCTGGTAATAAACAAAGTCAGTGCAGAATAATGGGATTTTCACAACACACTTTTCAAGAGAAGGTGGGTTGCAATCAATTAACTAAAAAATTGATGATCCAGAAGGAAGGAGAGAAAGAGATGAAAATAGATAGTTTAGATATGTAACCGGAGGAAATAAATAAGTAGACGAAGATACATCATTGGTGCTTATCTGTTTAAATAACTTGAGAAGAAATATGGTTGACATGTTTGTTATTTCTGTAATATAGTTAGGATTTATTGTTCTTATTGTTATTACTTTATATATATATATATTAATCATGGATCATCTAAACCAAATTATATTTCATTTCTCCTCTGATCTTGGGTCCATATGTGCTTATTCTTCATATGATTAAACATGTTATTGATAATTTTGCGATAAAGAAAATCATATTTCAATTAACTTTGCAGTAAGTATATGCAGAAACGCAGATTGAAAATATGCAAAATGAAGGATCAAACTTGGTGCACATGGTATGACATAACACATTTATACAAGTGTTTATTCTTAAGACATGAAAACTGATTTCACTTTAAAGGATTAGGAGTTGAGTATTATATTATCTACCAAAATCTGACGTCGACTAACATGTATTGGAGTTTTAAGTGCTTGATGTTGAATAATGTAAGTGCTTTGTGTTGGTGTTTAGTCGGCAACATCCCATGCAACTAATGATAAAGACATGGATAAATAAAGAATGATTGAGATCTTAATGAAACATTAGACGCACTAAAACATGAGATTTCAAGAATCCTGTTTGTAAAATGTGGTCCATAAGATTACAAATCAATTTGTGACACAGCATCGTCTAAAAAGCCGAGAGTATGAGGATTGAAACTCTATATTGATATTTATGTAATTCTCGAGAATGGTATTGCAAAGTATACTGAAAATATTGTTATCTGAACAAGGGTAAGTGATTTTGGGTTAAGGACATTATTTTCGAAAGCACTTCAACTTTACAATTTAGCTTTGTAGAAGACAGGAAGATAACAAAAGAAAAAAAAGTTGAGTGTAAATTGTGGCTGATACCATCAGGTAGCAGCTAAAACTACAAATCCTGAGCTCGTCTCAACAGTTCTTCCCTATCAATGAAACGCTCAAGCAGCTCTTTCTCTTTCAAAACCAAATAATCTTCAGCCCTACCGAACCATTCATACTTCTGTTTTGTTGCATAATCATAGACAGCATCCCTGAGAGGAGTTGGAATCACCCAGAGTGAGCTTAAAGCAGAGTAAGGTGGTGGCAAGTATGACAGTACTCGCAATGCAGCTGCAGTCATAACTTCAAATGAGATTAACACCCAAAACAGAATCACAAAGAAAGCAGCAGCGTGGTGACAATATAATTGGCAAATGCTCATTTGTGAAGTATTAATCTAAGTATTTATTCTGGAATTTTTTCTTAACATGATCCAGATTCTAGATGCTGTTCGCAACTCTACATTCAGATTGAGAGGGACATTCATCATACAACAATAGAGAATATGTACTTCACCAGAAAATTTATAGGTTTGATAAACCAATACGACTTTTAGAATTTCACAGTTAGAGAGGTCAATGGTGAACGAGCCCATAAAAATACTTTGAGATGAGAATTATCATCAATAATCAGGATTTTGAGGTAGTTATTAACACAATAGTGAGAAAGAAGAACGAGATAGCAATTGCCCAAGATTCAAAAAGGCACTAAAATTCCGAGTGATCTCATACTCTCCATGCTACACAAATGGTGAAAGCCCCTTGTGTATACTAGGCCACTCTTTTTACACATTGTGGAACATTTCTGACTCCATCAATTCAACAAAGAAATACATTTACCAATGCTATATTTAGTATCCATGTGCATAGACTGAAAAACCCAAGATACAAAGCAGATCTCAGGTTGGTCCTTCCAAAGTTACTACAGATCTGGACTAACGTTAAACTTTATATTTAGACATGTATGCCCAAACTACAGTGATGCAGTAAAATAGTCTAAAGAATGCGATAAACAGAATGGATAACATTGAAGTAAACCAAATGAGAGAGCATTCTAACCGGTGGATCCCTGAGAATATTCATTCAGGCCTTCAACAAACAACATGCGATGAACGACATCATCTCGGTCAAGACCACAAACTCTCAAATAGGGCTCGGCAGCATCAGACTGAATACAACAGAATTTGATCCTCTTGTCCTTATCTGCTTTGATTACCCATTTCACTCCTGTCAATGCAGAATTGTGACTGCTATGACAGTACTTGACAAGCCTACCAGATTTTAAAAAATTAAGCCAAGATCCAACTCCCCTTTTTCATAAAATGCCAATACTAATTTTGTACCCTCTAGTTCCAAGTCTATCTTATCTTATCCAACGTTATAAGTATAGTTTCCAGCCCGGGACTAAACGTAACCTCAATAAATTATTCTTGGAAATTAGGTTTACACGTAACTCAACTCCAAAAAACTGACTTCTAAAATGAGGTTAGCATTACATTTAAATATTTTATTTTAATCATATCAGTAGTTGATGTAGGAATAAATCACCATCCTTGAAGTTGGAATTAAGGCAACTCTCAAAGAGGCCACAACTAAGACAGGAATTAAAGAGACTTTCCAACAATTATATCCTAGTCTTTTAAGACAACGTCCCCATAAAATGAATATAGCTTAGTTGAAAACTCACCAATCAACTGAAATAACCCAGCAAGTTGAAATTGATTATCAGATCCTAATGCACCAATGCAAATGTTAAAGGATGAACAAACAAGGGTCAGCAATTGCTCAGATATCATGTTATCATCTTCAATCCCTATTACATGGGATATTCATTTTGTCATCTACCATGGATTATGTATGGCTACCAACTAAAGTAAACTGCATTCTTCAACGCCTGAGCTAAGAATACAACTAGCTATTTGTCTCTATTTGAACACAACTAATCTGAACGAATAAACTAAATCATTACACACACAATACAAGAGGCATCATTTAGTATTCAATAAAAAAGCAAAAGAGCTGAAAACTCCACCTCACATTTGAAAAGGAAAAAAAAAAAAAAAAAAAACCAACTTATCGGAGGGCGATGAAATTCCAAAAAGAATCGGAATATTTATCGACTATGTTCAAGGTTTCAAAGAACAGTCGGTGACAGCAATGTTGGCCGTGATTTAGGCTGCAATGTCAAGATTTTAGGAGCCTCCAAAACTGTAATTGTGGTCACATGAAATGCATTTGTCTACCTAAACTTTCCCTCAACTTCGGGGATCGCAACGAAATAAAAGACCGTATAAGCAATTTAAAACCTTGCCTGAGGCAGCAGAATGCTTAGCTAATTTTCTTAAACGTTAGAAATATTAACATTTCCCAAATTCTTGAATTTCGGAACACCACCAATGAGAAAGGCGGAATCTTTATTCTAACCAAGGCAACTAACAAGCAAAAGAACACACACCACGAGTTGAATCACACAAAGCACGACACCCCATGAACTGAATAGGAAGTAAAAACAGAATAATTATAGTGAAGAATGAGTACCTCGGTGGCAGAAGAGGGAAACCGCGTTGTACAGCAGAACTCTAGGCTGAAGCAGAGTGGGGATGTTGCTCTTCCACCTCGAAGAAACAGAGCTGAAACAGCGCAACCCATAACACCGCCCTCTCTCTATTGGCGTCTTCATTAAGCTTGCGAGTTCTCTCTTCATCCTAACATTCATTATATTCGTGCACTCCTTCTGTATGTAGTAAAGTTTCAGCCTTCAATTTCGTGTTCAACACCGTCTCCAGTTCTAACGAATTCAATTACCCTCCATGTTTAAATATACAAATTTTTTATATGAAGTTTAAAGAGAGTAGAATATAATAATGTCTTCAAATATTCAGTCCATAATAATAGTTATAGACGTAATCAAAATACTGGTTAAAGAGTATTAATTATTTTTTTATTTAAAAAATATAAAATAATAAATGATTGAGAGAAAATTAAATAGATAAATTAATAAAATAAAAAATATTAATTATTTTTTCATATAATTTAATTAATTAATTACTTTCTTTTATAGATTGTAATATTTATTTACTTAGTTTTTTTAGTTATATAAACTTCGATATAAATCTATATCTGTTAAATTTTAAATAATTCAATAAATATTTTATCTAACATTTATCTTATTATTATATATATATATATATATATTATTTTCTTTATTTTTTATTTTATTAACCTATAAATAATATTATATTTAGGTATTCAGATGAAACAATATTACAAATTCACACAAAAACGACAAACAATTTTGTGTAGATAATTAATAAATCATAGTTATAACGACCAATCCACGTACAATAATAAATAATTTTCATGTAATAGTTAATATAAATATTTCATAACAGATACTTTATTTAGATAATCATTAAAGATAATATATGTGTAAATTTACATATGTTATTTTATCAGAATAATTTATCAATAATATTTAGATCGAATAATTAACTTACGATATTATTTAATGATATAATATTTTGTTTTTAAAATTATTTTTATTTAAGTTTGAATATTTTTTTCGTCCCCATACTATCTTATGATTTTGAACTTTTTCGGTGTAAAATTTGGATATATTTGATTCTTACTTTCAAATAAAATCTTGAATATAGTCATTATTTGAATCAGATTGAAAAGTTTGAAATATTCTCGTACATATATCCCAAGTGGTGGACTTTCTTAGGAGTTAATAAGCTTTTTGTAAGCTCTCGTATAATTTATGATTTTGACTTCTCAAATTTAATGAACATTTAATATATTTAATTGTATATTTACAATTTTATCCTATTAGTCCCTCCTTGATTTTGTAACTCCTCATATAATCTATTATTTTATCCTCTTCAAACTTAATAATAATTTAATATATTTAAGTATATATTTACAATTTTATCCTTTTATCCTTTCAAACTCTCAAAATCAGTTATCAAGATACGCCGTTATCACATTACAATAAATAAGTTAGCAATTACCTTTCAACACCCGAAAAGCTTTTGTTGCATCCAAATAAATCTTCTAGCACTTCAAAAGTTGGACTCTATGCTTATTATAGTCATCTCTCCATTCTCATCTATGCCATTTAAACATGATCACGTGCCAATCGAGGTCTCCACACGTGCACGATACTGCATAGCCGTAGTTCCTACCCTTACAATACATAGTCCATGAAAGCTTTGAAAGAGTCCCTTCTGGTGTTCGACACTTTCTGGTACTCGAACGTGAGACACAAGACCAGAGGACATTTCCTTGACTAAGGAGGAGGTGGACATGGCGAGTTTGACGAATAGGGATGACAAAACAGGTTAGGCTCGGTGGACCGGTCCACCATAATATGACGGGGTAGGTTAGTGTTTTTAGCCCACCAGTCCGCTTTTACCCACCCCGCCAACCCGTCGGGCCAACCTGCGAGACGGGGCGAACCAATCCGTGATCCGCCTAATTAATAAACAAATAATTTTTTATTATAATAAAATTAATTATAAATATAATATATAAGTTAAAAATTTTAAAAAGAGAATTAAAAAAGTTTGACTCTCATAGAAAATATTCTCTTTATTGAAACACAATCTTCTCTCTCATATTTTCCTTGTTCATATTAAACATTGATTATTTTTATCCTTATGACTTAAATTAAAAGTTAAGAATTATTCAACCAAGGATAATGTGAAGTTTTATCAAATAAAAAAGATATAGATATTTGAATTTTTCAATATAAAAAATATAAAATTTATAAGTTTTAACATTATATATATACATATATATATATATATTTGTTATTATTTATTATTATGTAAATTTTATTATTGTTCTAAATTATAATTTCTTAAAATAATGTATTGATTTATATTATTAAATTGAAATAATATATATATATATATATATTAAATTATTGACAAACAAATAATAATTTTATTATTAAATTTATTAAAAAATTTATTTTAAAAAATAAATTATTTTTTCTAAATTATGACAGGCCAACCCGCCAGCCGCCAACCCGCCCCTTGGTGGGGCGGACCAAGGTTTACAACCCGTCATGACTATATCGGCCCAACACGCCCCGCCCCGTTTTTGGCGGGCCAAAGACAGGGCGTGCTGACCCGTTTTGCCATCCCTATCGATGAGGAGGAGGGGCTCGGTTAGGGGATTTAACCAAGAATAATCCCTAACCGAATATTATTCTAGAAAGAAGATACATAGTTTGAATGAGACCAATTACAAAAAAGTTTTTGCAACAATAGCAGTTATCTTAATATATAGCTGCTACTTAAACTGTTATAACAAAAAACTAACTCCTTCCCTGGTGGTTATTAAACCATTTCATAACATTTCCTTTCCTTTAATATCATCCTTGCCACCAAGGATGAAAGCTTGGAAACTTCTTTAGATCATACTAGTATTCCCACGTGGTATCTCTGGTAGGTGGTGTTTCCATTTTACGACCTTGGTCATCATAACCCTTTTTTTCTAATAGTCAATATGTGAAAGATAGTTTCAGGTTCTTTTTGGGCAAACGCATCCTCCTGCCAATGGCGGATCTTCTTGGGAGTTAAGGGGGCCGTGACCCCCCTAAAATTTTGCAACTCCCGTGTAATTTATGATTTTGGCCCCTCCCAAACTTAATGAACATTTAATATATTTACTTGTATATTTACAATTATATCCTCTCAGTTCCTCTCGGTTTTGTAAGTCTCATAATTTATAATTTTGTCCCCGTCAAATGATCATTTAATATATTTAAGTATATATGTACAATTTTATCCTTTCACTCTTTCATCTTCTTTCTTCCTTTTATATTTATTTATTAATAAAATATTATTTGGCCCCCAAGATCAATGGCCAAGATCCTAGACCTGCCTCCTGCCGATAGGGTAAATTAGTGGTGGCCATCAAGCTTCCCACATGTTTCTTGAGCTGAGAAATATGAAAAACGTTATGAACCCTGTGAGCTAGAAGATCCAACTTATAAGCTACTACACCAATGCACACTACAAGAAAATCGCGTATTACCAACAGATATTTACCGACGGATTTGTAGCCGTCGAAAAATAATCATTACCGAGGGAAATTACCGATGGATATAAAATATTTGTGGAATTTGATGTTACCGACAGATATATCCGTCGGTAAAATAATAATTAGTTACAGACGGATATATCCATCGATAAATTTGTCGGTAATTTATAGATGAATTTACCGACGGATATATCCGATCGGTAAATCCGTCGATAAATTAACAATTAATTACAGACGGATATATCCGTCGATAAATTTATCGACCGGATATATCCGTCGGTAAAATTATATAATATAATTTAATTATTCACCTAATTAAAAAATAAAATATTTTTTATTTAATAATTTAATTTAATTTATAATAATTTATTAAATTAAATAATTTTAAAAATAAATATATAAATATATAAATATATAAATATATAAATATATAAATATATAAATATATAAATATATAAATATATAAATATATAAATATATAAATATATATAAATATATTTGTATATTTGTATATAAATATAATTTATTTGTAAATTGTTATCGAGAAAATTCTAATAACTTAGTGGTTGGAGTATCGACCTCCAACTCTAAGGTACTTGGGTTTGAATCTTGCAAACTCAATAATAATTCAAAGCTATAAAAATATAATATGAATTAATAATAGGTCAAAATATGCTATAAATAAGTAAAATTTTTAATAAATAATAAAATTATTACCGACGGATTCTACTCCGTCGGTAATTTCGTAACACATTTACCGACGTATTTTGACCGTCGATAATTTTAATATTTCTTGTAGTGGCAGTCCAATACTTTAAATGACCTAAAATATTTAGGACTTGGTTTTGCATTACTTCTGAAAGCTGTGAACCTGCTTATACTGATGTAACTTAACATAAATATATTAACTAATCTCAATTTTTTTACCACTCCTATGTGAGTAAGCTACTTGTTTTATCCTTTCATGCGCTCTTTTTAAATGAAATTTATTTCGTAACACATTTACTGACGTATTTTGACCTTCGATAATTTTAATATTTCTTATAGTGGCAGTTCAATACTTTAAATGACCTAAAATATTTAGGACTTGGTTTTGCATTACTTCTGAAAGCTGTGAACCTGCTTATACTGATGTAACTTAACATAAATATATTAACCAATCTCAATTTTTTTACCACTCCTATGTGAGTAAGCTACTTGTTTTATCCTTTCATGCGCTCTTTTTAAATGAAATTTATGAGTTTCATCCTTTTCTAGGCTCTTTTCAAATGAAATTTTATGAGTTTCATAATCTTTTTTCACTTAGCAAGACTTCTATCCACCAATTCCCCATTAGTTTCCACCAGAAGGTAATGGAGACGGAGGGGTTGGGTACCCATACAAGATCTCATAAAGAGTGGCCTTGTGATAAGTGGTTTATATCACCACTCAGCTTGAGGAAATCACCTCAACCACATGTGTGGAACATCAACACACATAAACATTAAATAAGTTTCAAGGCACCACTTAACCACTTCAGTTTTTCCATCGCTTTAAGGATGATAACTAGATGAAAGTTGAACGTGGACTCCCTATAAGGTCATGAATTCTTGCCAAAATTGGCTAATAAAAAAATGGAGTATCGATCACTGGTGATAGAGTTACGAAATCCATGGAGTTTGAACACATCATCCATGTAAGCTTAGGCAACATCACTAGTAGAATAAGGATGTGATAAAGCCATAAAGTGCGCTGCTTTACTTAACCTGTCAACCACCACTTATATCACTTACTTGCCATGAGAATTAGACAATCCTTCAATGAAGTCCATGGTCACCTGCATGTAACCTTTGCAGTATATCACTTCTTAACTTCGAATTAGTTTGCATTACTAGCTTCCCTTTCCTTCTTAATTCATTGTGCTGCCATCAATAATGTTTATGTGTTGTTGAATCACTCTGCATTGCCCGAATCAGCTATTGCAAGTTAGCATATTTCTCCCAGGATCTACGAATTCTGTCAATTCAATCAGTGTGCAATTGATGGATGATCATGTTATTGCACTCAACATCTTCCCTCCTTGAGAGTGCATATGTTATCCTATTTTCTTGGTATATTGAATGAAAAGACCAAATTCCATGAGTTTCATCAACCATTTCTATTGTAAATTAGTTTATATTCTCTGGTCAAGAAGATATTTAAGACTGTAATGGTTAGTCTTAATCTGAATTGTTTGTTCAATAGGTAGTGTCGTCATTTTTGTACCGCAAACACCACCGATAACAGCTCTTTGTCATATGTTAACAATGATCGATGTTAAACATTCAAGATTCCATTAATAATATAAGATATAGGGTGATGGTCCTACCTCCTACATAAGGACTGCTCCTATCCCGCTTCCCCAAGCATCCACTTAAACCACAAATTTTTTTGAAAATTCAGGAGAGCCAACACATGGGTGTTAATAAGTAATTCTCTCAATGTTCTAAAGGCCTAATGGCTAGATAAATTCATCTTTCTTTAACAAATATGTTATTGGCTTGGCCACTATTCCATACCCTTTAACAAACCTTCTATAATATCTTGTCAGACTCAATAATCCACACATCTACTTCACTGTTTAAGGGAGGGGCCATTTGAGCATGACTTATATTTTATTGGGGCATGTGGATACCCTTGTGCTCGAGATGAAATGACTCAGATATTCTACCTGGTTATAACAAAATAACATTTACTCCCACCTAGCAAACAAATAATTGTTTCTAAGCGTTAGCAATACCTATCTAAAATGATCTACATGCTCCTCTGTTATCTTGTTGTAAACCAATATGTCGTCAAAAAATACTAACAAGAATCGCCCTAGAAATTTCTCAATCACCTCATTCATGTTAGGTAAACATTAAATACATATAGTTGAGAGGTAGTGGTTGCATTAAATGTATGTAGTTGAGAGGTAGTGGTTGTATTGAATACATGTAGTTGAGAGACCATATCTAGAGGCCTATAAATTGACCATGTACCACTCATTACAAAAATACATCAAATAATAATATACAGAGTGCTTTATTTATATACTTGTTTGTCAACAAATTGGTATCAGAGCTTGAGTGTCTGAGTGTGTTAGAGAGAGTGTTTGAGAGTTAGAGAGTTTGTTTAAGATGACCAACTTAGCTAACATCATGCCTCTGCCAAAGTTATCGAAAAACGGAAGCTATGATAACTGGAGTCTGCAAATGAAGGCTCTCCTTGG